TTGTAGCAGAGACTGATGGTGACTCTATTTAGGCAGTACTCAGAACGACCATGCAGATAAAATACATCTGATATTAATCAAACTGACACTGAGCATCATGACTTGCAGTGGTAATGTAGCGTTACTTGATTGTAATTCATGGGATCTCTGCCTGTCCATGATATCTATTATATTTCAGATACATTAACTGGCTAATAAGAGTTTATTAACTTAATAAACTCAATTCAAATCAATTCAGTTTATTTAAACTCAAACAGAGTATTAACTGGTTGTACCAAACAAAGTATTAAAAAATCATACACAATAGGAAACACTTTTATATAAAGAGCAGATAATATATGTATCGAATATTAATATACACATACTTAACTGTAGTTGGGTACAAAATGCTGATTAAAATAATAAGTGGGAACAGACTGTGCTCACAATGTCACCTGGAGCCATGCAACACATCTCTCAATCTTAGGGCAGATGTGTGTGCATGCATTTAACCATTCACAATACTTTGTAACTTTAATTGATGTCACTTTAACTTTAAGTTTGATTAAAACCAATAAATAAGCTGACTTTGCTTCTGGCATCCAGTGCAGATCAACTGACTGTTAGAGCTCAGATTTCTGTTTACTTCAACTGAGGCACCAGCAGCACATCAATCTGAATGGAAATCAAAGCACCTCAGCAGAAAACCAGCCATCCTAAACCAGAACTGAAGGTTTTCATTGAACTATCTGGTGTTTACTTTATTCCTGTACGATCAAGAAAAGCTCAGTTAGTTCTGGATCACACCGTGAGCAAAAACCACCACAGAACATCTCACTGCTTTACTCATTAGTGGCAAAACGGCAAAGAAAAAAAATACATAATACATAATACATACATACATTTTTTGTTTTGGTAACAAAATAAGCTGCAATCCCAAAGGAGGAAACTTTACCTTCTGAACTAAACTTGGCTAAGTTATGTTACAAAGCGATGGCATATTTAATATCTGTATAAATGTTCAAAGAAAAACTATTTAACTAACTAATATTGCAACATCAGCCAAAGTCTATCAATAAGGTTTATTTTCTTTCAAAAGAAAACGATCAAGCGTCACCAGTTCCTCATTCTTCTCATTAGCCTGTAAGCTAATTAGCCACTGACTGTTGACGAGTGTTCAGCGAACTTAGCAAACTTAAAGCTTCCGAACTTAGGTTCAACTTTGTCGTAACTGAAGCAGCCAAACATTTTCAAACACATTAAATTAAAAATGTTTCCATGCAGTCCTACCTTTGACTGAAGCTCCCGCTCTGCTCCTTTCTTCTCTTTTAAACTTTAGTTGATTTATCGAGAAACAGGCAGCTCTAGGTCACAAGCTAACTGCTAGCTAGCTGCGCTGGGCTAGCATCCGTTAGCCTGAGTGGTTTGTTTTGAAAATGGTTCATACTGCACAAGGCTAACATCAACTAGCTCAACTTGGCTAACGTTGAGCACTTCTGAATGTAGAAACAGTTCAGTCCCCGACCCGCCCGCATTAATTACTTCTTGGCATTGTTAGCAACACGTATTATTTTATATGTACATGTATGATTTGGACTCACGCACAAAGATACTCAACGCGCGGCTAAGTTTAGCAAGCAAGGCAGGAAAAACTCAAGTCATAAATTTCGAATCAAAATGGC